CTTATTAAAACTGATAAATAAATTCAGTAAAGTTGCAGGATACAAAATCAGAATATAAAAATCAGTAGCATTTCTATATGCTAACAGTAAACAATCTGAAAAAGAAACCAAGAAAGTTGTAATCCCATTTAAAATAGCTACAAATAAAATAAAATACCTAGGAACAAACTTAACCAAAGAAGTGAAAAATCTGTACATTGAAAAGAAATGAAGAGGACATAAAAAAATGGAAAAAATTCCATGCTCATGGATTGGCAGAAGCAATATCATTAAAATGTCCATACTATCCAAAGAAATCTATAGATTCAATGCAATCCCCATCAAAATACCAATGATATTATTCTCAGATATAGAAAAAATAATCCTAATATTTATATAGAACCACAAAAGACTCAGAACACCCAAAGACATTCTGAGTAAAAGAGGACAAAGCTGGTAGAATCACATAACCTGGCTTCAAATTATACTACAGAACCATAGTAAACAAAACAGTGTGGTATTGGCATAAAAACAGACACATAGATCAATGGAACAGAATAGAGAACTCAAAATAAATCCACACATCTGTAGTGAACTTATCTTGGACAAATATGCCAAGATCATACAATGGGGAAAGGACAGTCTCTTCAATAAATTGTGCTGGGAAAATTGTATATCCATATGCATAAGAATGAAACTAGATCTGTATGTCTCACCATATATACAAAAATTAAATCAAAATGGATTTAAGATTTAAATCTAAGACTTGAAACTGTAAAACTACTATAAAATAAAACACTGAGGAAAAACTTCAGGGCATTGTTCTTGACAAGGATTTCTTGATACCCCAAAGCACAAACAACTAAAGCAAAATTAGACAAATGAGATCACATCTAGCTAAAAAGCTTCTTCACAGCAAAGGAAACAGTCAACAAAACAAAGAACCAACCCACAGAATGGGAGGAAATATTTGCAAAACTACCCATGTGATAAGGGATTAGTAACTAGAATATATAAGGAGCTCCAACAACTACATAGGGAAAAAATCAAATAATTTGATTGAAAAATGGGCAAAGGATCTGAATAGACATTTCTCAGAGGAAGACATATAAATTGCCAATAGTTGTATGCAAAAATGCTTCATATCATTAGATATCAGAAAATACAAATCAAAACTACAATGAGATATCATTTCACTCTAGTTAAAATGGCTTTTTCAAAAAGGCAATAAGGAATGCTGTGGAGGATATGGGGATAGCTAATGGGAAGCAGTAGAATTATAGTTAAATTCCTCTACTTTTTTCCAGTTTCTACAATGAACATTATAATGGGGGAAAGAATGAAATAAATGTTACAAGATTGAAAATATACTACATGAAACAAAATATAACTTAAAAGTAAAGTAATAAATTTTATATTTTTCTCATGCAAAATATTACAGTAAATCCACCTCCAGGTTCTAACTCTATTTTTTGAAGTTTTCTTTCTTCATATTTTGATACTATCATGAAGGTGGAGCTGGCAGTATTCAGAGAAGGCAACAGCCTCTCTTCTTGCTGTGTCCTTCTAAAATACAAGAAAACCTTACACAGAAGACATTTGGGAATCTGTCAAGTTCACTTGCTATAGGGATCACTAGGATTGGTCAAGATCAATCATAGTTTTCCTCTGGAGTATGATACCAATACATTCTACTCTGAATCAATGCATTGACTTTTCAGAAGTACATACCTTTGAATACAACTGAGGTCCCTCAGCAATTAAAAAAAGAAAAAAAAAGACTATTTCGTAGTTAGCATAAAATGTCTGCAAAGAGATGTTATTTAATTGTATTAAGAGATTTAAAATATGGTTGTCTATATCAGTCTAGAACAAAGTACACCAATTTTGTAATCACATAGATCAGATGATTAAGGCACGAATTTTTATATTTTTATCTGGTTGTGTTGGATTTTGAAAGACATGGTCTATGGTCTATTGACCTATGTTCAATATGGGCTTTTGAATATGGAGGAATTAAACAGGGACTTATGACCAGTAAGTTAATAGAATGGAATTATTTATGTGGTTATGTGGTTTATCCAATAATAATGGACTTTTTCCTTTCTATTTCTTTTCCAATCTCTTTCTTTCCTTCTCTACAAACACTTTACTCATTACAAACACATTTACTCTCTACAAACACATTACTCATAATAATAATTATGAGTAATAGCCATAAGATACACCATGAAACAAAGAAGCTTTGGCTATACTAGGAGAGACAGTGGGAACGGAGTTAAATTGACTAAAATTTCTTAACTACAAGTGTCTGGTAATTTGTTGAGAAACTGAAAAATTGCATATAATTGCCAAGTTTTTAATTGTGTAGCTTAGAAAGAAAAGAAAATACATGACAATGATAGAGATAGTTTACTCTGTTTGGATCTGAGGCACTCTAAAATATGATTCACAGAAATCCAAATTATGCTTGAAAAAAAGTTCTTTCAGATAATAAAAGACTTTCCTTTTTTTCCCAGAGAGAAAATGGAAATGTAGTGAGTTGAAACAATTTAGTATGTAAAAGAAGCTTTTGCTTTTTTCTAAGTTACATCTAAATGTTTTACTATGCTGTTTAGAATATTTGTTAATCAGTAGAATATATACAATAAGTCTCTACAGATAAATCTGTGTTCTCTAATTCAAAAGTTTACTAACTTCTAAAATAAAAGAGAGGTACACACCTTAACTGTCCATAGCAAAGCTGAATCATCAGGACTTTTACATATTCCCCACCTTATAAATGAGTGTATATAGAAGTGACATGCAAGAAAAGATATTAATATTAGGCTTGTGCATATTAAAATGATTGTAGTGAGCTGTGATCCTGCCACAGCACTTCAGCCTGTGTGCCAGAGTGAGACCCTGATTTAAAAAAAATGTACATCTTAAAAAAAAAAAAAGTGAAACTGGAAATTTGAGATGAATATTTAATTAAAAGTCAACAAAGCATAATGTTATGGCAGCTTTCACAGATTATATTTAATGTGAGATGTAATGATATATTAATGTTTAGCATATCACTTATCTCCAAAATTAAGTCAGTCCAATGACTAAGAGAATTTTTGAGTAGACCTGTTTTAGGCCTCTCCGATTGTTAGTTATACTAATAGTTTAGTTAGATGTATTTTAATTTGCTTTACACTTATTTGTCTTTCTTTATACATGTTTATATCTTACCTTCTATACAATTTTAGAACTCCTTGAGAATAGGAAACACTTTTGAGTGGAGGACATTGCCTAGAGTAGAGTGGTACTACCTGAGTTAATTTCTATTTCAATACATTTATTTTTCCAATGTGTATTACAAAAATAAAAGTTCTATTCCTAGGAAACAGAAACCATGCCCTCTTATCTGTAATTAATAGCCTTTAAAATGAATAGATTCCAATGAATTAATTTATTATTGTAAAAATAATATAACCTCTAAAAGAGACTAAGTATTCTCACTATCAAATCTATTCCTAAATATGTAAACTAAATGTAAGAGGACTATTATTCTTTAAACAGAAAGCTGAATTATAATAAGTCTAGTAGTTAAGTATTTCTAAAGTTGAGGAAATCATAGCTAGATTATTAAAATACAACAAAATTGCATGTTAACTGATTAGTCCAGATTTTCCAGAGATCCTGATTTCTACAATAATTGCCAAAATAAAGTGTCTGTGTTATAATCAGTCTTTATGATTTCTGCTTAAATGTAGCCCATGTTTCTCCTATTTCAAATTCCCTTTTCCTCACATATTTCTCCTAAGCATTCTAACCTTCTGCTGATTGATGTTATACATAATGGATACCCCGTTTATATTTTCAACATAGCATTTTGTCAAAGACTGATTCTCATACCTCTGCTGTTCTCTGGCTAGAGCTCATGTCTAGTTTAATTTGTCGTCCTTGAAGTCTGGTGGCAAGTTTCTCACATAGCTAAGAAAACTTCAGACCAACAGAAACTTATTCAGAGAAAAGCTATTGTGAAAAGATTGTTCTCAGTTCCCAAACTGAGGGTCATTTATAGCAGCATGACCTTGACAAATGTCTATAAGTTAAAGAATGACTCTCCATAAACAATTCGGGGTGACAGGCCTCTAACACATCACACATACAGATTGGGTTCTCAGCAGACTGGTGCCAGCTCACACTTCCTGCCTCACACAAGCAATACCAGGAAAGTCACCATTGGAGAAGAAATTTCTCTCTTACATCAAGAAAACAAAATCGTGTATTGCAACCAAGAAAATGAAACATGATCTCAGTCAAACTGGTATCACATTTTAGGGCAAAATCAACCATCATGTATCTCGAAGGGCATTCTCTGCTACCCATAATGTCATAAATGCACATATTATTTGTATGAATTGCAGGATATCATAGTCCTGGAATTTGGGATCTAGGCATGAAATTGGATAGGACCTACTCTTCTGAAAGGAATAAATCCTCCAAATGCCTACAGTCACCCCACTGAGCTGACTGGATGTAGAGAGAGAGATAATGAGCTTGTGTGCCCTGTCACAGTATGTGTTCTCTTCTCCATCCAGACACCTCTATCCAGGTTGGTCCCTCACTGACTGAACATCTTTTAAATTACATGCTTCCCCAAGGGCTCTTCACCTTCAGGGGTTCTGACCCCTTCTCAAATTTTCTTTTAGTTCATCAAATGAAATACTTATGACTTAAAGAAACTGGATTTATCTGAAATATATTTATCAATATTAAAAATGTAGACTAATATATGCATATCTATTAATATATTTTAAAAATCAAGACCTAGAAGTGGACCTAATAATTACTATAAGTGAATAGAAACAGTATTTTTTAGATCCTTGCAACAATTTTAGACAAAATAAATATAACTGAGATTTTATGAACGATAAAGTCACAAGTATTGACACTCCTACTGTGATTTGTTGCTTAAATATTTAATTGAAAGAACCACTAAATTTCAGTTAGACATTAATGAGAACAAAGATATATTTGTTTTACAGCCAAATTCATGAACCCTCAGATGTAATCCATGGATCCATGGGACGGAGAATAAGTGATTCCCATTTAGAATCTCACAAAGAACCAGTTATCTTCCTCAATGCAGCCGGGTCCACCATTCGAGATCTCAGCTGTGACTGTGTCTCTATTAGGATCAGTGAGGTATGATTCCTTATCAGGCTTCTCAAAGGTTTAAAACTGGTGAGGCATGATTAAGACTTCCATGATCCTGCTGTCATGATCATTCCCAATCATAGCTCCCAACTATGGCCTCTGCCAATTACTCCCACAGCTTAGTTCATAATAATCAGGCCAAACGAAATTTCTGACTTTAATTTGTATATACTGAACATCTTTATACTTCTGTACCTGCTGTTTCTGTTTAAGAATATAATTTTGTTGCTATTAAATCTAGTAAGTTTTACTATAAATTAAAATTAATTTACTAAAGATAGTATAGAATTAATAAAGAATAAGGAGAGATGTTATGAGTGAAGTGAGCCAATAAATTTATTTAAACATTTAAGAAAATATTCAACTCCACAAATTACTAAAAGAGGAATGAGGTCTCATTTTGTAGATATTAAATTAGAAGTGTTTGTGTTTGATTATTTTATGCATTTTTATCTTAATAATATCACTTCCTATCACCAATCCCACGGAAATAATATAAAAACAGTAAACAGATATGAAGATGTTCAAAGCAAAGCAGTGTCCTTTGTAATCAGAGGCAACAACTGCTCTTTCTAACAGTAAAGAAATAGGTTAGAAATAGCAAATGAGAAATTAAAGTGATAAATATCTAATGTAGTAGAAAAGAACACATTATATAGGTATATTGTCTGAGTTTGAATCCTAGGTATATTAACGGGTTTTGAATCCAAGGTTTACTATCCCATAATCATGAGAACTTATGCAAGTTACAAACTCAAAGTTTCCTCTTGTGTATAAAGTGGAGCTAATAATATACTTGACTTGAAAGTTGTGAAGATGAAATAAAGATACTTTAAGCACATAGTAAGTACTCTGTAAGTTTTAGTTATTATTGTGACTATGACTTTTATCATTATTGTGGCTATGTAAACACTATAAAGTTTTAAAATAAAAATGTAATAAGATCAAAATAAAAATTGTATCATTATACTGCTAATAAAAATATGGATGCATATAACCCCCCCAAAATGGAATGGAATTACAAAAAGGCCAGGATGTTATTAGGGGGATGAGATTTTATTTGACTTTTAGTATGCATTATTATCTTTTATATACTAATAAACTCTTGATCTTAAATACTTTATAATAGCTTTTCCATATGAATGGCTTCTGTATTCTCCAGAATGACAGTAATACTATTGCCATGACATCCTTTTTCTGTCTCTATTTCCTACTCTTTTCCTTTCCTCCCTCCCTCTTCCTTCCTTGCTTCCTTTCCTTCCTTCCTTCCTCCCTTCCTCCCTCCCTCCCTTTCTCCCTTCCTCCCTCTCTCTCTCTCTTTCTCTCTTTCTTTCTTTCATTGTTATTGCTTTACCAAAACCATTAGTGTGGTTTCAAAATAGTTGCCAACAGTCTGTGAATGATATTAGCAGGAAGTATCATGAGATGGAATGTTCACCTTTTTCTTTCCCAAAACCTTAATTCAGGATCCAATCATGATTTAAATTCACTTCTATTTGATTGTGTCTTTATATTTGGAGACAAATCTACAGAAAAAGAATGGATATTCTATTGTCACTAATATAAAATCATGCAATATCGTATAAATTGCTAGTCTTCAGTAATTTCTTATAGTGTTTTTCAAGGTTTTAGAAAGCTGTTTATATGACAATTTCTTTCTCTAAATAGAGCTTACTGTATTTTTCATAGTTGCCTATGTAAAACACTGAGAGATTGGGTTCATTGTTTTAGGGTAAGCCACCTGCCAAGAAAGCAATTTATTTTATGGTCACATATGTTACTGTTAGTTGCTTAGAGAAAAACCAGTATTTTATTTTTTATTTTATTTATTTATTTATTTTTGCCTTCATTCTATCCTGGAACTATTCTTTCAACATCTGTGTGGAGCACATGCAAATTTAGCAGGAACTAAATAACTTGAAAATAAGTATCAGTCAAATGATGATTATTATTTGGGGGGTACAAATTTCTCCAGTCTTTGATTTATATTTGCACCACTTAGAACAGTGTTTAAATTAATTTGCTTGAAAATTGGTAAAACAAATTTGCTTCAGGCTGTGACCTTATATGCCAAGATGAGCCCAGTGTGAGTTTTGCAGTTGAATTATAAACCTCTGAAGAGCAGTTTTTATTATGAAAATGCTGACACTTCTTCAACTGTAGCAATATGTATGATGTGGCTCTAATTTTGTTAAGGAACAGGGGCAGGTATGCTACCTATTAACAACCAGCACATCTTGAATGTAAAATGACAAAAAAGGTGAGAAAAGCTGAAAAAAGAGAATAGGTGACAGCAAATAAATCAATGAATAAGAAAAATGACACACCCCTAAAGGTAAATAACCAGTCTTTTTTATATTTATTTTTAAGACAAACCATATCAGTGAATTATATTCTCCAAATTTGTGAAGGAGTTATATACAATATTATAGGATGGTCATTTTATAGTTTGTGATAAAAAATTTCTGTAGAACGTGATGCATTAGATTGTATCAAATTTGCACTGAAGTGCTGGGGCTTTAACATTAGCACAATAAATTGAAGTATTTGTTATAATGCTTCTTGTGTATGGTTTTACTTAGGTAGTATATATGTACACATATTTTCTTCTAGTATGTAAATTTAATTGTTCATACCCTTATTTATGATGATATGCCTAACTGAGATGAGCTTTCTATTTTCATTGTGCTGTTATTACCAGAGCAAAGATAAGCTAGCTCTCTACTTTAGAATTAAAATTCTGGGGGTCAGAGCTATTGTCGCTTTCAAAAATAATTCTCACTTTTTAAAAATATTATTTGATTTTTACCAAATGACATAGAATATGTCAAAATTGTAAGAGTATTTCAAAATTTTCAATTTTGTTTTTCATTATACTTTTGTATCTCCAGTCTCTAATTAGTTAAATGACTATAACTTACTGTTTTATTGTTTTTCTTATCTTAAACTATTCTCTTAACTCTCTAGCATTTGGGCATTTCTAGCAAAAGTGACCTTAAATCCACTATTATTTTATCATTAAATCTGATAATATCTTATCTTCATCACATTGGCAGACTGTATTGATTGCTACAGGTACCTGGGTAAGTGGATCTGAGTAAATACTAGGCTTATACATACACTTCAATGTTTAGAGGACTATTACCACTTGAATTTACACCCAAAAATGTATTTTTCACTGCATTTAAAGTTGAAAAAATGTTCTTTAAATTAGTCACAGCTATTATTTTTTGAGCACCTGTTTAAATGTCATCTTATTTAAATCTCAGCATAACTATGGATTTATAAAAAAGAAACTAACATTCAGAGCAGCTTCATAATACTTATTAAAAACACAGCTGTAAGTTGGCATTCCCTGGATTTTAATCAATATCTATTCATTATTAATTTTATGTCATAAATCTCTTAAAAAACCTCAAAAAATTGATTAAGTATTTGAATAAAAGTTGTATGGGAAGGTTGATTAAACATTTAACTTAATTGTCTAGAAAACTAAAAACATTTACCTGGAACAATGAAATATATATTACATTTTTAAATATATTATAATTAAGCACAGGTGTTTAATATGTGAACATCTGAAAATAATATTAGGGATGCAATTATAATTTTATGCCCATAATGTGTTTATCTTAGAAGCACCTGCATTCCTTAATATAAACACAGAAATACAATAGTATTTGGCATAAAAAAATAAAAAAAGATCATCTAAAAGCCAAACACTAAGTCTTATCTGAATAGTTAACATAGTGATCTGATTGATCATTTGACAAAATATTGATGATGTTAGAATGTTGAAGTTGGAAACTAACACCTGCCTTGTTTCAATTTAATCTCCAAAATTTAAAACTAATTCTGTGCTGGTAAGAATTACATTTTAGTATTAGAATACATTAAAGTAGTTGCACTAAAGTAGAATTAGATTAAAGTAGTTGTATCAACACTGCTAAAGAGAAGAGGATAAATATAGATACCCTGAGTTTTGTGTTTGTTATTTATTTTGAGGGTATCTCTTCCCAGAATGAAACTTCTAGAAGAATAATTTAAAATGTGGGAAAGATAAATATATGTGGATTATTTTAAAAGAAAAACATATTCTAGCCTGAACAGTTTGGTGTTGATTAAGTTCACTGGCATTAATCCATTAATTAAGACTGTAGAATACACACTAGTAAGAGAATGTGGTGAAGCCACATTACTCAAAAGTATCAATTTGAAATAATAAAGCTATATTGAATAATGTGTTTTGATTTACTCAAACCACATTCTTGCTATTAAAGACACACACATGCACACACTAGAATTTTAAAAAAAGAATAACTTAATCAAGGCCCTTTTATTTTGGTTGTTGCGGTGATTGCCATTGGGGTCTTCTTCATAAATTCTATGCCTAGGGAGATATCTAGAAGAGTTTCCTAACACATTCTTGTAGTGTTCTTATGGTTTTATGCTTTACATTTAAGTATTTTATCCATCTTGAATTAATTTTGGTGAGTGGTAAAAGATATGGGATTGGTTCATTCTTATGCATAAGGCTATCCAATATTCCCATTACCATTTATTGAATATGGATTATTTTCCATAGTGTATATTGTTGTCTGCTTTGTCAAAGATGAGTTGGCCAAATGTGGGTGGTTTTATATCTGAGTTCTCTGTTATGTTCCATTGGTCCATGTCTCTATTTTTGTGCCAGTATCATGTGGTTTTGGTTACGGTAGCCTTGAGGTATAGTTTGAAGTCTGCTAATATGATACCTCCAGATTTGTTCCTTTTGTTGAAGAACAGTTTGACTATTTGCATTATTTTCAGGTCCCAAATGAAGCATAGAATAATTTTTTCTAGATCTGTAAATGACATTAGTTTTTTGTTGGGGATTACATTGAAACTGTAAATCACTTTAGATAGTATGGACATTTTAACAATGTTGATTCTACCAATCCATGAGCAAGATATGTATTTCCATTTGTTTGTATTACATTCAATTTCTC